GGGGGTCTGGGCACCTGGGCTGGGCCTGCCTGTGTCCTAATGTCTTTGCCTCCTCTCCAGCACTGTCAAGACCTCAATGTCATCAGCAGCCTGCTCAAGTCCTTCTTTTGAAAGCTGCCTGAGCCTCTTTTCACTGATGGTGAGTAGGAGCGGGGAGTAGGGGCTGGGCAGGGAGGGACAGCAGTCTAGGCTGCACCCTGACCACTTTTTTATTTGGTTTATTGGTTTTACTTTTTGGGTTTTCTTTTAAACACAAAAGAAACGTGCTGGTAAAACACTAGGATGGTACAGGTGTGAATAAAGCAAACAGCAGGGCTGGCCCATTGCTCACTTGGGAGAGTGCGGTGCTGCTAACACCAAGGTCACGGGTTCGGATCCTATATAGGGATGGCCGGTTAGCTCACTGGCTGAGCGTGGTGCTGACAACACCAGGTCAAGGGTTAAGATCCCCTTACTGATCATCTTTAAAAAAAAAAAAAGCAAACAGCAAGGGCCCTGTCATCCTCCCATCCCTTTCCCCAGAGGTTACAGTTGACACTTTTGGAGCATTTACTGTCGCTAAGCACTACTTACCACAACACCTCTATGAGGTAGGTACTATTATCCCCCCTTTACAGATGAGAAACTGAACCTCAGAGAGTTTCAGTGACTTGCCCAAGATCATGCAGGTTGTAAGTTGCAGAGCCAGGGTTCTGCCCCAGGCACCTGGCCCAGAGCTCAGCTCTTGGCCATCGGTTGAGCTGCTTATTAGCAATTGGTTATGTTTCCTTCTCCACCCTCTTATACATATGACAAAGACACACATATGCATGCATAGGGTTTGGAGGTGGGTGAGTTTAGTGGTATGCTGGTAAATGTTTAACATCAGGCTCTCAAGGGGGTAAAAGCCTTGATCTGTAGTTTTCCAATTTCCATGGTGTAAATACTCCCACCATGGTTTATTTGATCACTGACATGATGTTACCAACATGGTATTGGGAAGAGATGCACACCATCTGCCCTCAGGAGCCAGCATGATGGGCCCCAGCCTACTGCTGGCTGAGCTGTTCTTCACAAAAGCAGGATTGTAATTCTGAGATTCATCTGCGTCAGTACAGAGAGCTCTACCTCATTCTTTTAAACCAACCACATCATATTTCATAGTCTGAATAGACTATAATTTTTTCTTTTTTTCCTTTTTGTCTTTTTTACTGACCGGTAACGGGATCGCAACCCTCGGTTTTGCGCCCGCACCGCGCTCAGCCAGTGAGCGGGAACCGGTCTCCACATGGGATCCGAACCCTTGGCGGGAGCGCCGCCATGCTCCCAACCGGCGCACTTCTCCAGTGCACCACCGGGCCGGCCCAAGACTATAATTTCTTTACTCACTCCTCGATTGATGGATATTCAGGTCATCTTCAAATATTTGTTATTACAAAACCTGTTGCAATGACTTTCCTTGAATATGTCCTTGCAGGTCTGGATCTGTGCTGTCTGCATAGATAAGATTCTTAGATGTAGAATTGCTAGGTCAGAGTCCCGGGAAACATTTTTGAAAGCTAATGTCAAATTGCAGTCTGCAGCTGGCTGGTGTTCAGTGAGTTAGAGCACCGTGTAATGACACCAAGGTCAAAGGTCCAGATGCCCTGTACCAGCAACCCACCAAAAAAACCACAAAAAAACTGCACTCTGATAAGGAGATGCTAGTTCACACTCACACTAACAGCATAAGAGAGAATCTGTCTCCCTACGTCCCCATCAGCACTGGATGTTATTAATGTTTTAAACTTTTGTTAATCAGATAGGGGAAATAGTATCTCATAATTTTCATTCTCGTTTCCCTCATTACTAAGTAGATTAAATCTCTTTTCATTCATTTATTGCACTTTTCTATTTCCTCTGTCATTGCTTGTTCAAACTATGTGCACATGTTTCTGTTGGGTTGCTTATCTTTTCTTATTGATTTGTAGGAGACAAGCTCTTTGTACATCACCGATATTAATTCTTTGTTAGATTTTGCAAATATTTGCTCTGCTCTGCCATTTGCCCTTTAATTTTTCAGTATAGAAACTAAAAACAAATTTTTAAAATGTAGTCAAAACTGTTCATCTTTCTTTAGTGGATTTTGCATCCCATATTTAGGAAGGCCTTTTTTTTTTTTATCTTTTTTTTTTTTCCGTGTCCGGCAACGGACCGCAACCCTCAGTGTCGCGCCCGCACCGGACCGGGACCGGCAACGGGATCGCAACCCTCGGTGTCACACCCACACCTCGGTCAGCCAGTGAGCGGGAACTGGTCTGTATGTGGGATCCGAACCCTCGGCGGGAGCGCACTGTAGCAGTGTGCCACCGGGCCGGCCCTAGGAAGGCCTTTTGACTGTAAAAATATTTTTTTTATTTTTTTTCCCCAATGCTTTATAATTTCCATATTTGGCTCTCATGCAATTGAATTTGTTTGCGTATCATGTGAGATAGAAATGGATCCCCCCATGACAGCCATTTGTCCGAGGGACGTTTATTGACACATCCATCTTTCCCCACCGATCGGAAGTGCTGCCTTTATCATAGCGGGAACATCTACACGGCCCCTTCCCCTCCTCTCTGTCCTTGTCATTGCTCTGCTCCCTCTGCCAACAACAGACGGCTTTAGCTGTGCGATCTTTTTAGTATATTTCGGTATCTGGTAGGACGAATCCTCCCTTGTCATTCCTCCTCTAAAAAATATTCTTGGCTGTCCTTGTGCATTTGCTCCTCCAGATGAATTTAGAATAGGCTTATCACGTTCCATTTTTTAAAGTTCCCAGTGGACTTCTTCTGAAGGGAGCTGGGGGAACCCTAACAAGGGGGAAGTAGTCTGAGCCCCCCCCTTTGTAGGTACCTTCTCTTCTGACCTACTGAACCTTGGTGTCCTTGTCCCGGAGACTGGGGCAGGGACCTCTTTTCTAGGATCAACATGCAGCTTAAGTCCAATTTCTTCCCAAATGAACACACCTGGGCTATCCCAGGTTGGGTACACACCTGAGTGCAGGTGGTGGGTTTGGTCGCATAAATACAAGGCCACAGACCCCCTCCCCCTTTACCAAAACCAGAACAGCATGAGCACAAAACACTGACCTCCCAGCAGGGCCTCCCCAGGAGCGGGAGAAGGGGCTGCCTCCCACCCCTCTAAAGAGTCTACTGTGTTCTAGACAAATACAACGACTTCATCGAGGCCAATCGCATCGAGGACTCGAGGGAGCGGATGAAGACGCTGAGGAAGCTGGTGAGGAGAGATGCTGTCAAGCAAAGTGTGGAGTGGACGGCAGAGCACCCCTGTCCCCAGAGGCCCAGAGTACGGTGCCACCAATTTCCCCTCTGCCCCTCACCTGATGATGCCCGGGGTCTCACCTTGCTTCTCATGCTACCACCCTGGGAGAGCTCAACCAGCTGTTGCAACTCCATCTCTAGGCTTGGATACCCAATTGCCACCTGCATGTCCTTTGTGTGCCTCAAAAGCTGCATGTCCGAAATCAAATTTGTCTTCTCCCTCTTCCCTTCCCCATCTCAGCATCACCTCTGTTGCTGAAATAGAGACCTGGAGTCACCCTTGACGGGCTTGCTTACCCTCATCTGTCTCTGGGCCCTGACGATCCAGCTGACTAAACCTTTCAGACCCACTGGTTCACAGGTAACACAGGCGTTAGAGGAACACAGTGATGGCGCACAAGGAAGCAAACAGGCACATCTCAGACAGACGTTCTACAGAGCAACTGGTTTGGTCTCTTGAACAAGTCAATGTCAAGGCAGAAGGCAAGAGTGGGGTTGTTCAAAAGAGATTTATGAGACAACCCAAAGATACTCATCCTCACTGGAAAGAGAAATATAAATTCAAGCTCTCTTAAGATAGTATATTTTACTATCAGCCTAGCAGAAAACAAGAGTTTGACAAAACTCAGTTGGCAAGGCTGAGGGGAAACGGACACTCTCATCCGTGTTGGTGGAAAAGAAAATTAGTATAAGCTTCATGGGTGGCAATTTTTCAATACCTATCAAATACCTATAATTCACCCTTTGACCCAGAAATCCTACTTCTGGAATCTTTCCAACAGTTACCTCCACATGTACAAAAGATTATTCATTATAGCATTGTTTGTAATAGCAAAAGGTGAGATACAACCCCAGGGTTCATCAACAGGAGACTGGTTAAAAGAATTATGACATAGCCCTACAATGGAAAACCATGTAGCTGTGGAGAAGGAGATGAAGCTTTTCTATGCACAATCTCCAAGATATATTGTGAAATCAAAAAGGCAAAAAGTAAACCAGGTGTAGGACTGTGTGTACAGGGTACTACCTTTGTGTAAGAGAGACAGAAAATCAAGTCATCCGATATCTATTCACACTAGTGTGTGTTTGTGTAAAGAAACACTGGAAGAAAACAGAGAAAGAATAAATGAAATGGTGACTTGAGCTGATGGAGAACCGGGCAAGAAAGGAGGGGAATGGGTGAGAGTCTCTTATACACTTTGTAATAATGCTTTGATTTTTTGTTTGTTTGTTTTTTTAAAAAGATGACCGGTAAGGGGATCTTAACCCTTGACTTGGTGTTGTCAGCACCACGCTCAGCCAGTGAGCTAACCGGCCATCCCTATATAGGATCCGAACCCGGGGACTTGGTGTTATCAGCACCGCACTCTCCCGAGTGAGCCACGGGCCGGCCCCATGCTTTGATTTTTTGAAAACCTGTAAATATATTACCTAATTTAAAAAATTCAAGGCTATTAGCAAGACAGAGGGGCTGGAAAATACAATTACCACTGGAACAAAAAATAAGAAATCTTAAGGAGATATTGAAGTCAAGCAAAAAGTAAAAAACAAAACAAACAAACAAAAAGGGTAGTGCTGATAACGCCAAGGTCCCAGCCACCAATCAATCAATCACTGTTTTTTAGAACTTAAATTCTATCACTGTACCAATTGAAGGAGAAGACATTCGCTCTTAAGATTCAAATTTGTGGCCTGGAAAATCAGGCAGAAAAATATCTCAAACCTCAGAGAAAAGTACATAGAGATAGAAATAAAGAGGAAAAAGGTAAGAAACTGGGAGGACCCAGTCAGAAGAGCTAACAAGCAAATGAAAGAAAGGTAAAAGAAACAATAATCAAGCAACAAATAGATTTTCATAAGCTGAAAAAGACCTGAGTCCACAGACTGAAAACCAGCAGGTCCTGTGAATTCCAGATGGGAGCGCTGAGAAAAGAATCCCTGTGTAGGCACGTCCTATAGAATATGTGTTTGATTAGGAATCTCAGAGAAAGGGGCAGAAGCCATTAATGAAATGGAAAGCATAATGGAGGAAGAAAAGAGAATCAATAGCGACCTGATCAAAGGGAGACAAACCACAAGGTAAACTAATACATGTAAAATAAGCCAGAGTAATAAAATCGAGTACATGATATCACGTAAGTGAAATGTGAAGAGACTGAGTTCTCCAGTTAAAAGACAAAGAGTCAGGTTGGGTTTAGAAATACACTTTTTAATAAAGTGACAATGGTTGAAAATAAAACGATACCAAGAGGTATTGGGCAAGTGCAAAAATAAAGTAAAAGAAAATAAAGAGTGGCCATATGAATAATATAGGGAGGTGAAATTTAAGGTTAAGCACTAAGACAGGGTAAAGAGGAACACCGTGTAATGATAGAAATGCACCATTTGAGATGACAAAACAGCTAAAATCTGCATGCTCCCAACAGCACTGTAGTTAAATATGAAAAGCAAAACCTATTGAAAGCACAAAAAGAACTTCATAGAGAAAACTTGAGTGGGAGGTTTAACAAACCTCTGTCAGAATCAGAGTAAAAGACCAAAAAAAAAGGATAGAAAGGAAAGGGAAGTTTGAGTAATACAATCAATACATTTAATTTGATACATCTGGAACCTTATATCCCTTAAACAGAAAATAAACAATTTTTTTTTTTTTTTTGTCTTTTTCATGACTGGCAAGGGGATTGCACCCCTTGGCTTGGTGTCGCCTACACCGCGCTCGGCCAGTGAGAGCACCCGCCATTCCTATATAGGATCCAAACCCGCGGCGGGAGCGTCGCTGCACTCCCAGCGCTGCACTCTCCCGAGTGCGCCACAGGGTCGGCCCTAAACAATTTTTCTATACATCTATGAAAAAGTTAGAATAATCATTTACTTGGCCACAAAAAAATCCATAATAAATTTTAA